CATCACAATACTGACATTTTGAAGGGTATTATTACTTTAAATGTTCTTCTGGCAAGTCTGACATTTTTTCCCTCATTTATATATATTTAGATGGTATTTAACAAAGGTAAAACAAGACATTGATGATAACGCCAGTTTATTCAGTGACAATTCGAAGTCACAATGGCATTGAAAAAAGTGACTTATGATCATTTTTCAGACTGTTGCAGCATCCCCATCCATGGTCACATAATCAAAATTCAGATGCTTGGCAACTGACTCATATTTATGACAATCACAGTGCTTTGGGGTCATGTGACCAGCTTCTGCAACCTTCTGGCAAGCAAAGTCAGTGGGGAAACCAGATTCACTTAACAACTGTGTTACTAACTTAACAACTGCAGTGATTCACTTAACAACTGTGTTACTAACTTAACAACTGCAGTGATTCACTTAACAACTTACTAACTTGACAACTGCAGTGATTCACTTAACAACTGTGCAAGAAGAGTCATAAAATGGGGCAAATCTCACTTCAAAAACGTTTCACTTAGTGACAGAAATTTTAGGCTCAACTGGGGTCGTAAGTCAAGGACTAACTGTATACAAATAGTCCTCAACTTACAAAGATTTGTTTAGCGACCATCCAAAGTTACAGCAACATTGAAAAAAATGATTTATGACTAGTCCTTGCACTTACAACGGTCACAGCATCCCTCCCAGGTACGTGATCCAATTTTGGGCTCTTGGCAACTGGCATCCATTGCCTTGCCCAGTGTCATGTGATCGCCATTTGCAACCTTCTCAGCTGGCCTCTAGCAAGCAAAGTCAATGGGGGAAAGCCAGATATGCTGCATGACCATGTGATTCTCGTAACTGCAGTGATTCCTCTAACCATGGCAAAAAAAAACCCTCACCTAACAACTGCTTTGCTTAGCAACAGAAATTCTACTCCCAGTTGTGCAGTAACTTGAGGACTACCTATATTGGTAGATGCAGACTTGGGTGCAGTTGGGACATTATTTCTTATGCCTAGTTCAGGACCATTAAAGAAATCCTGAAAACATAAAAAAATAATGTTTATGCAGTTTAATTGGTCATATGGCTCTTCCCAATTATTATGTATTTATTGTTTTACTTTATAAACCTCTTTGCATATCTGGGCATCCAAAGTCACTTTATTTTGCCATCTAATCTCTTTGGTAAAGTGACGGCCCAGACCAGGGATAGGGAACCTGGGCTCTTTTATGACTCATGGACTTCAACTCCCAGGAATTCTGGGAGTTGAAGTCCACGAGTCATAAAAGAGCCAAGGTTGCCTACCCCTGGCCCAGACTACACACTGTGATAACTGTTGGCTCTTGCTTAAGGAACTGGTGTTATATACAAGACTCGAATAGTATGAATCAAGAGTAGTGATTGGATTTGACCTCTCTTCGTTTTCTATTGCTCCGGGCTTCGGGCCAATGTTGAACATTCTTTTAGTCCCTACCCAGTTATTTCCTACAGAAAAACAAAACCCAGTGCAGGGAGCAGGTTTTGATGATATGAGAGCATTCACTTGTTTGGTCTTTGCTGTTCTGACTATATGGTAACACCAACCAAAATACAGTGAACACACACAGAATGTTATTTCCTTTTCTGTGCATGTGGCAGTGTGTTTGGTTCAACATCCTTTGAGTTTCATTTGTGACCAAATCTTGCAGAGTAAAGGATGGGGAGGATGTGGTAGCCTTGTGCCTCATGCAGGAAAGAGTATTGTTATTCTGTTTTTTGTTTTTCTTGAGTTCAATGTTACATAGATTGCCTAACAAAGAAAGGCATTGCGCAGAGAGCTGTCAAGCTGGAACTCTATCCGCCTCTTTATCCTGGGGGTGAACTGGACATCTGTGCAGCCTGATTAACTTAAAGGAAGAAAAGTTGTGCTGAATTTATCCAGTGGAGAATGGGAGCTAGCAATGCTAATCTGCAGACTCAACATTTATTATCTTGTCCTTCAACTTGATCATATTTTTAGCATTGTGCATGAATTGGACTGAATGTAAACTGAAAAATTCTAAGAGGAAAAATTCCTAGTGGGTAAAACAAAGAGTTCTTCCATGGCTTTAATTTGAGGAGTCCTAAGGCATTGTGAATGTCCTGTCTTTCATTCTACATTCTCTGTTCTTATTCATATTCCCTTGCTTCGGTTAAATCCGAAGAGAAGGAACAACTTCTATGGACCTTTGGCATCTTGGGAAGCATAAATTGAGACAATCTGCAATTGAAAAATGTAAAGATCATAACTAGGGAAAGAACAGCAACTGCAACCTCACAGACATAAATACGCTTTAAAATGAAGTAGAGTAAGCATCTTTTATGAGGGCGGAGGTACTTCCAAGGATTTAGAAGTGTTTGATATTGACACAGTATAAATGAAAATGAACCACACAACCCAAAAAAGATGGAGGTTAAATAAAAAGAACAGAGAGAAACTAAAATTACCAACCAATATTCTAGTTTATCCAATTACCAACCAATATTACCCAATTACCAACCAATATTTTACTTTATCCAACAGAGGAGGCCTCCTCTGACAAAAATAAAAAAATCCAAAGGCTTTGTAGGTAGAAAGGATTGTGGCATGACTGGAAAGCTCATTGTAATGATTTGAGGAATGTAGGGAATAGAACTTTAAAATTAAAATAGACATTTTCTTTCATAGTTAATGAAATTGTATATATATAAGATGGCATCACAGAGAGCTAGCAGAGTGTAGTGACCTAAAACGTAGGGGTGATACTAGGGCTGAGGAAGTCCAAACTGTTGTCCTTCTTCAACCAAAGAAGCTGTTTAGGAGCCTTCCAGTCAATTCATTTAGCCCAACCTGCTTCACATGGTTGTAGCTGTGAAATAGAAAGAAGACTGTCATTTGAAATTCCTGGAGGAAAGACAGGATATAAATCTAACAAAGAATAAACACATAATGGATGGATGGATGGATGGATGGATGGATAGATGGATGGATGGATGGATGAGGTCATTATCATTTAATAGTGCACTGAGTCATAAAAATACGCTTGGACTCTAGCTAGAGTACAGTATATTTTCTTTGCCTTATTGTTTGTGTGTTCAGCATTTAGCATTTAGTGAACGAATGAATGAATCTGTAATTATATTTAGGCAGCTGAAGCTGGGGGATTTATATTTGTGTGTTGTATCTGTATCTATGGCTGACCACAGGAAGTATGGTTTTAATGTGATGTCATCTGAGAAAATAGAATCAGGTTTTTAGATTTTTTTTTTTTTTTTGAGGTTGAAAGCTTAAAAGTAAAATAGGTATGTCAAAGTCTGTGGTGGATTAATCTATTTAGCTTTTAATTTTCAAGAACACCACAAAAATTATGCTACAGAAAACAAGTGATTTGCTTTCAACTTTTATCAGTGTGGTCTGGGGAGTTAGTCTCTATAGATTGTGAAAAATGAGCTGGGGGACTACATATAGGCTTCATGTTTCTGTCCCACATGAAAAGAGAAGTAATTTAATTTTACAAAGAGAAAACAGGACCTAATCCATGATGGTTAAAAAACAAGGAATCTGTTCACCTAGATTAGGGGTGGGAACCATGGTTTCTCACCCCTGAACTAGATAGATTATGTTCCCTATATCCTGTCATAGATATTAGGGTAGAAAAGAGAATGTAGAATACAAATACTGTATAGAAGGTGCAATGTTCTACTAAGTAGAATGTCCCACTAAGACTACAAGGGACAGATGGTTATGCAAAGCTATGAAGATGAGAGCAATTCTTTAATGATATAATTTGAGTTGCAGGAGCCCAAATTGCCATTTTCCTTTCTGTTCATTGACAGTTTTAATTCATTATATCTAATACACATGCTGGCAAGGTTACGCAGAGGAAGGAGACAATGGCTTGTTATTTTGTTCACGTTTTTTTGCAATGCCTATATTTGGTTCCTCAGCTCATAGTTGACAGTCACACAGAAGATCGCTCTAATTGACCAACTTCCCCACAGATGTAGCAAGAACTCTATTACCTTCTTTTTCATAACCTGCTTCCAGTAACTGTCACAGCAGATGTTCACATTAATTTCCTTATAAGCTGGGTTTTCTCTATATAGCTGGTCATGTTGCATGTCCATGTACTGCAGAAATGTTGGTGGCAATTAGAGAAAAGGAAATTCTTCAGACAGCAACATCTGATACCAAGATGTTTTAACGGGCTCTTGAAGATACTGAGTGGTATGTCAAGGAAAAGATTATAATAAATGTGTTTGAAAATAATTGGTGATATTTCAAGAGGCCCCTTGTTGTACGAAGACATTTGGTTTGACCCCTTTTTCCAGAAGCCACTGATTCATCAAACTGATATCAACTAGAAAGCATTATACAGAGGTAGATTGGTACACATGCAGAATCATAGCTTTCAAGGGGGTCACTTAGATTATCATGTCATACCCTCTACTCAATAGAGCAATCCAGATAGAAACATCTCTAACAGATAATATCAAGTTTGCACTTGAACACATCTGATAAAGAAGAATTTCCACCTCTCTGAGTAATTGTTTCCACTGTCAAAATGCTGGTACAGTTAGGAAGGTTTTCATCACAATTAGTAAGTAACGGTCTTGCTGCTGTAGCATGGTTATGAAGGCGTGCATTCACTACCATTGAGCTGGAATGCAGGAGTTGAATTTTAATTCAATGTTCATTAGAAGCTGACTCCAAAAATCAGCTTCTCACAGTTTTTTTCTCTTTTTATTATAGTTCAATGTACCATTTGCAAGCACAGTGTAGATTAATGGATTTGAAGTATAGTATCAACTGATCAAGAAACCTGTGTCAAAAGCAATAAGGAAGAGCATGAAGCTATAATTTGAAGTTGGCTATAATCTGAAATTTGAATCCTGAAAATTCAAATGTTTACCTAGACAGCAAAGGAATGGGTGTGTGTATCCACAAAGCTTCAGTGTATGGATATTATTGATTTGGTAACTGTTAAATTTTACATTCTATGTAGCATCCATCGAGAGCAGAACTCAGGATAACAGCTGAAGGAAGAAACTTTATTGTGGATGTTGAAAAGAACGAGTGAGTACTTGAAATCTTATTGTCATAAGGAAAGGTATAAGTAGTCAGACAGTGCAATGCTTCAGACTGGATCTCCAAATATTGCTTGGGGCACAAATGTAGCCCCTCTCCATAATACTTTGAAGTAGCTGTGACTGCTTCCAGGATCTCAGATCCCCAATAAGTGTTTTTTAAATTCATTAAGCAAAAACATGAATGTCTTTTAGGGCTGAGTAGCTAACCTAAAGGGCTGACAAGTATCTTTAAATACGTAACAGAGTAAGGTTTGGGAGAGGCTATAATATCTTCTGACAATATTAACATGCCTGTGATCGTTCACATTCCTCCTTTTCATGAAGTTTCATTCCTGTGCATTAGTAAATATGTTCTGGCTGTATTAAAATTGCAAGCAATAATACATGGTATTTATTACTGTAAAGTAGCTTCAGTATTTGCATATCAAAGCAAAAAAGTGCCATATCAAGTTCTCAGCAATGAAAATTAGCATAAATTCTAGTACACTAAATGAAAATTAGCATGAACCTTCATTTGTGTTCTTAAGAAACAAAGAAAGTATACATGCATTTGGGCAATGAGAGAATAGCATTAAAAACATTTAGTCTAATCCTATTATGAAGTGTGCATCTAGCTGCCAAACTCTCCCTCCACAGAGAGAAGTTTTCATCCTGTTTCCTAGTGATTTGGATCTACATCCTAGTATAAACAGAACTCTCTAACCATCTGGCCTTAAATTTCCAGCAATATTTCTGAGTCGTATAAAGCAGTACAGGCAAAGCCACTGATGCAGCAGAATTGGAAGAAGCAAAATCATAAGCAAAATTTAGTCACATATTAGCATGGAGGACAATGATATAACCACCAGATATAATGAAGGATAACGATATAAAAGCATCCTGGGAATTAACAGTGCTATTGCCATGCAGGACTTGCTCTCAACAGGCTAGCAAATATATCTTATCTTTACTTCCCCAGTAGGCTCACATTTCATCCAAATGTGCAAATATAGCCGTTCAACTTTGTAAAGGATTGAAAGAGGCAATGATATGGATTCATAATTGTGTGTACTGTATGCACTTAAGTACTTTAAATTTAACCTTGTGTAGATTTGAAGTGTTCTAAACATTAGCTATTTAGTTTTTTGCTAGTAGAATTTTTCTTATTTATTTATATCCCACCTTTATTATTTTTTACATACAACTCAAGGCACAAATGTATCCATTACACCTTTCCCCTCCTATTTTCCCCACAGCCAACACCCTGTGAGATGAGTTGGGCTGAGACGGACTGGCCCAAAGTCACCCAACTGGCTTTCATGGCTGAGGCAGGACTTGAACTCACAGCCTCCTCCTTTCTAGGCTGGTGCCTTAATTACTAGACCAAACTGGCTGATTCTAAACAAGAACTTATTGAACCCCTTGGTCATCATCCAGTTATTCCTGTTAGAAGTAAAGTCTTCATCCTGGTTCATCCAAGCTGGGAATAAATAAGCAAACATGGCGACTGCTTTGGGAAGAAGGTTACAGTTTATTGCAGAAAGATGGTTCTTCAGGAAAGAGCAGAGGAAAGAAGGGCTGAGCACATGGTGTTGTAGGTTTTTATACCCCCTCTAGCCTTTTGTTTGGAATAGTTTCCTATTCCTGTGGCATGAACTTTGAGGCTATTTCCTATGTCACGTATTCTGACCTGAGTTTAGGTGTGCCTCTATGGTATGCTTGATGGTAATGGGTTAGTCATATTATATCCCAAAAGTCATCTCCTGCTTCCCTGGGGCTGGGCTAATGACTCTTAAGAGTTTCTTTGTCTTCTTGAGCTTCCTGGCTCCAACCTTCCTGATGGTTTTACATCTGCATTTCTATGAGGTTAGCTCTTGCTTGGGGCAAAGAAATTTGGGGCCAGGTTTGGTTTCTGCTTTTCAAAAAATCCTTGAGGAAAAATATATTTTCCTTTTTAATATTTCCTTCTGGAGGGCTAACTTCCCTCATTCCATTACCACTGATTTTATAATTTTAAGACACTGAAGTAGGGGGAAAAAGGAGATTGTTCTTTAAAAAATGCAGTGGTTGGAACATAGAAAAAAATCCGTAGAGTTTGTATATTATAATAGGTTAAAAGTGAGGAGAAGATAGAAAGCTCAGCATCAGGGAATCAAATATGTAGACTAGAGACGGGTAATTTGAGGGTAAATGGCCACATTTAATATTTGTAGAAATACAGAAATTTAGGGCTGTAATGTGCTTCATAAGTATTGTGCTTATGAAGTCAGCCAACGTTTTCCATTTTATTTCTGGGTTGGTAGAGAGACATTTTGAGGTACCTGTTTTAAAAAAATCTCCATTAAAGAAAATTATATTAAACCTTCCTTAAACTACATATATGTTGATGACTAGAGCTGAAATCTTGTGCACAGGGGACAAATCCTGTCGACCACAGAGAAGCTTGTTTAAGTATTAGGAAATAGCAAACAGTTGCAAATTTCTCTTTACCAGCGGATGTGCTTGATTTCAGCATCTGTTCAGAACATATCTCAGTTGGTGTATCCCACGAAACAGGGACATTTGTCTTCTCTATTTGGAGACCACTCCCAATCTGGCAGCCAGACTGGGAAGTTAAAACCTCTACAGCTAAGGATTTATTATTTGTTTTGCTATTAAAAGTGAGCTATGAAATAAGCATTTTTCACGCTTTTTAAAAGCTTTGAAATCGGAGTCCAAATCTAATTTGGTTGGGATCCAAAGAATTGGAGCCCGATGGAAAAAGCTCTTAACCTGTCATGTAGCCATGAAGCAAAGTCCCTGGTTCAATAATTGGGTTAAACACACAGGCCCATGAATCCCTAGCAAGTCAAATTGCTGAGGGTGCTCATACCCAGAGGACAATGCATCATCACCATCAATGAACTTGATAGCTTTTTCAAAATTCCAAGGAATATAAAGATTGGCAGTAAAAAGAGGTAGGGACAAAATATGAGGTAGGTCCAGAGCAGAATAGTAGCACTCTGGAAGGAGATTTTGGATTCTACTTTATTTGAAGCTATTTGAATATATACTGAGCACAATCTGACTAAGATTAATTTACATTTGCCTTGATGTTGCCAATATTGTGTCAGTACAAAGCACATTTAATTCCACAGGAAGTTACTCTTATTTACATAACAATCTCTGAATTAATTCCCAAACCCCGGTGCACTCGGTTTGTTTTTCAAAAATGGGTTGTTGAGATGTTTAAGTTCTGCAGCTGTAAAACAGAAAGCCCAAAGCAGAAAGATATCATGAGAGTATAACATTGGCCGTTATTGTCGAAGAGCATCAGATGTTCACAGATGTGTTTCGAAGCATAATTTTCTGGAAGGAAAAAAGAAAGAAAGAAGCCAGTCCTCTGACTGAAGTTAAGGAAGTCTTGAAGTTGTGATAAAAACAAATACACTGTTTTAAGTCTGTGTTTAGTAAGAATTAATTGCTTTGGGTCAACACCAGCCATCTGCACAGGCCAACTGAGGACAAGCTCAGGAAGGAAAAGAGAGGATATTGATTTAATAATGGAGGCAGTAGCATCTTCAGGGGGTGGCAAGGGAGGTTAGAGTGATACAAAGGGAATCATGTAACTTGATGCAAGATGCACATCATTGTTTCATCCACATATCCCGAAGGAGCAGAGTTTATAGTTCAATGTTGCTTTTTTCATTGTGACCAAGGCAGCAAGAGATTGTAGATACTACTGAATGATTGTGGTTAAACATTTTAAAAATATTTATTTATTTATTTATTTATTTATTTATTTATTTATTTACCGTATATGCCGGCGTATAAGGCGACTTCCGTAAGCGTAAAATTGGCGCCAAAGACGGGGGTCGTCTTATATGCTGAGTCGTCTTATACGCCGGAACTACTGGTAGTTTCCAGCATATAAGACGACGTTCTAGGAATGTGGCCCAGCGACAAAGACGGGGATCGTCTTATACGCCAGGTCGCCTTGTACGTCAGCATATACGGTATTTATTCATACATACATACATATATACATACATAATTGTATGTTGCCTATTCTCAAAGTCTCTAGGCAGCTAACAATCAACAGTTCTTTAAAAGCTAACACCTAAATCAGTGGTTCTCAACCTGTGGGTTGGGACCCCATTTGAGGTCGAATGACCATTTCACAGGGGTCGCCAAACAACGCAGTCTGCCATTTTTTCCCCTTTTTCCTTAGCTGTGCTACTCCCTTTTATTCTATTGGCTTTTGAAAGCCAATAGAATAGACTCTCTTGAATAGAGTCTAATTCCATTGGCTTTCAAAAGCCAATAGGAATTGTCCAGGCTGTCTCTGCCCTGCTGAGCCCACCAAAAGTCCCATTCTGCAAACGGTGCTGCACCAGTTGAGTAGTCCTCGACTTACTACCGGTTGAGTAGTCCTTGACTTACGACCGGTTGGGGGTCGCGGCATTAAAAAGGTTGAGAACCACTGACTAAATCAAAATACAGAAAGAACATTGATACAAACAAAACAAAACAAACAAAAAAGGCAGAAACCATTAGCGTAGTGAAAAACACTCTCTTTCGGACTTATTGGAAGAAGTGAGTTTTAGCAAAATCCCAGACAACTTTCTACTTCTTATAGGCCCAGGAGATAGGAAATAGACCAAATCTGCACTGGGAGGAAGTTTAAAAGAACTGGAACACTGATGGATAAAGCCCACCTTTTTCTGACAGTAACGAGGCCTGGAGTTAGTTAATCTGTATGATCTGGTTGTACCAACAGATAAATACAGAAAAAAGCAATCCCTCAGATAATCAAAACTGGAGCCAGGTAGAGTTTTATACAGGTATCCATAGAAGAGATTATCTGTAGCTCAGGGTTGAAATGAGGGGTCCTTGATGATCCCTGAACTTGGTTGTTGTCTTGCAGTCATTTTATTACCAACCTAGGTAAATTCATCCGAGAGCATCGAGGACTCTTCTTTGTAAAGGTGACAACCACCACCTTGAATCATACCTGAAAGCCCACTG